AGGCGATCAGGGTTCGATNACCTAGGATCCAGGCGATCGGGGTTCTGTTCCCGGTCAGGGCACATGCCCGGGTTGTGGGCTAGGCAGCCGATCAATGACTCTCTCATCATTGATGTTTCTGTCTCTTCCTCTCCTTTCCTCTCTCTGAAATCAATAAAAATATATTTTTTTAAAAATGCCTGTTGTTGAGTTCTCTATTCAGATTAAATTTTCAGGTGGGCTACAGGGAACTGAGATAGATCCTAAAATAATCCAGAAGCCATTCTATGAAGTTGACAAGTGAAAGGTAATTTCATTTAAGAAATCTTAAGCACGCATTCCATGCATAATTAGTAACTGCAGATGATAAAGACACAAATGCGTATACTATAAAACAAGCTAAGATAAGACCTAAAGAGAGGTTCAACTATTACAATGGGAATTGATGATGGAGTAGATAACATCAGACCTGGGAACATTAGAAAAATCTTGGAAGAGATTTTTGGAAATGGGCCTTTAAAATGGAAGGTTTTTTGGGGGGCATAGATAGGGTAAGGAAAGAGACATTTCAGAAATAATCCAAACCTCAGGGGAAGCAAAGTTTGGGACAGTTTCCAGGAATAAGTAGTGGTCAACTTGAACTACAAGATAGAACAGGAAGGCTAGAAGAGTAGTGCTATATCGTAGAGAAATACCCGTCATAAACCATTCCTCATACCTCTTCCTGTTAGCACATTTGCCTATCCCAGCACATTCACACACACACACAAGCAAATACTTTGAAATTAGCGGGTCATAACTGAATGCAGTCTTAGTAGATATCTTCATACAACACTATTATTCTCTCCTTAATTTCATCTTGAAGAACTTGTGATATTTTCAGTGTCATGGAACCTCATGATCCTATTTCACAGTCCAATGACCAGATTTCATTATCATCACATTTCATGTTCTATATGTTGTACTTATGGATGAGAGGGCACTATAATGTCCCCAGTATCATACTAGTGTTTTGGTTCAGATATCTTGACTAAGAATCTGGTGTGCGTGTGCGTGTGTGATGGGCAACTCCCTTGGAGGATTTTGAGTAAAGGAATAGCTTCACAGGGGATTTATCTAGGATCAAATGTACAGGAAAAATTAGAGAGATGAAGTAATTGGGAAAACAAAAGCTCACAAAAGTCCTAGTAGGGTCTATGCATAGGTAGGAATAGTGAGAATAAATAAGATAGTTTCAAGAGCCTTTGCCAAGGCAAAATGTCAAGAATCTAAGAGGTGATGTGAATGGCAAGTGAGAAGGATGACTACATTGATAATATCAGTAGAGATAAAGGTATCAAAAGGGAGGTAGAGAGTAGTTAACAAGAGTTTGTACATAAGGCATTTGAATTTTTCCACTGGTGTACTATGTGGAAAGTGAATTCCCCAAATGTTAATCACTTAGAAGGATCTAACTGGTAGTAGAAAAGAATGGGATAAAAAGTTTTCTTAAGGTCACTTCTTTCTTCCACCAGTATGAACCAATATGAATTCAGTTGCTTCCCCCAATATGAATTAAGTTGCATCACATGCCCACTTAACTGGGAGGGGCAGAGCAAGAACTTTAAATAACGCATGTGATTCCTTTGTGAGATGGGAGCCATGAGTGTGCTGTTCCCACAGGTGTCAGCTCCTGCTGGCCTCTGGAAGGATGGACACTGATCTACCTGGCTGTGGCCAGATCAATCTCAAATTTGCCTTTCATACTGGCCTTAGAACCTCACCTCTCAATAGGATGACCCCACACTGTGGTTTGGAATAAACACACATGGAACTTGGTATCCAGATGTTCAGGTGCCTTAAAGCACCTAAAAATTCTTCCACATCCATGCTTTGAAAGAACTTAAACTCATTTGACAATGAAGACAATACTTCCAGTCTGGTGTTTAATATTTTTACTTCCCAGCAGCATACCACCACTTTGGTCAGGTTGAACTACTGCACAATTTTGCAGCTCTTTCAGAAAAATAATTAAAACAATTGGAAAGACACAATCACATGCAATGGTGAGAAAATAGTACAACTGCCCAATCTTTCCCCATAAATGTGAAATATCCTTGGTTCATCTCCACACTGTGTATTTATTATAAGCCCTTATAGCAAGGGATTTTGTTTCTTTCAGTTTGTTGTTTGTTTTTGTAGCACCAAATAGACACAGTGGCTAACAACAAATAATTCTGAAAAGTCGTTAAAATATTTACCACATCAGAAATTTTCTGGATCTGTACTTTTATCCACATTCCTGGCTTGAAGTGTTCATGAGAGTAAGCTACAACATACGATTGTGTTCTGTTTCTGCCACTCATGTGGCTTGCTGACTGTGAATACTTAACAAATATCTTTTTGTATACTACTTTATAATTTCAAAGAACTTTTATATACAGTGACTCCTTCATTTTAATATCATGGTGTCTCCCAAGCCACAGATGATGGTTAGACACATGAGCTCTTGCGATACAGTGCATGGGTTCAAATCCTAGTTCCACCTGCTAGCTGTGTGACCTTGAACAAGTCACATGCACATCTGTGCTTCAGTTTTCTTGCCTATAAAATGGAACCTGCTACTTAGAGTTGTGGACAGGATTCGATGAGATACTCTATTAAAGTACTGAGCACAGTAGAACCCAGTAAGAGCTAAATGTTAGTTATGAGCAAATTATTACTTACCTCATTGGGATATAACTATGGTGTAAGGATAAACTAAGCAGTATTTTTGAGTGGTGTGTTCAGAAAGGCAAGTTCATTTAAATATGTGCATGGAGTCTTCATGATTTCTTTCCATGGGGTTAGGGATTTTATTTGCTTTATCAGCTGTGAAAAGGGACCTGATGAAGAGGAAACTCTAGTTACTGCTAGAGTAAGTGTTGAGTTCCTCACAGTAAGCTCCACGAGGGCACTGTGTCTGTCTTGTTTGCTGTTGTATTTCCAGAACCTAGCATATATTAGGTACACAATATTTGTTAAATGAATAAACACATGGAAAAGTCTTATTAGCTAACTGATAAATCTTAAACACGGGTGCATTCTAGGACTCAAATATGAGAGTGATCTTATGAAAGCAAGACAAGATTTAGAGATAACTCCAATTACTATAAACTCGTTAGAAAAAAGCTGTTAATAAATATCAAAAGGGATATTAATAATATGCTTGATGATGTGACTTTTCTTTTTCATTAAAAATCAAAACATAGCCCTGGACAGTTTGGCTCAGTTGTTAAGAGCATTGGCACTGGGATTGAGGGTTGTGGGTTCGATTTCCGGTCAAGGGCATGTACCCAGCTTGCAGGTTTGATTCCCGGCCTGGTCTGGGTGAGTGCTGGAGGCAACCAATCAATGTGTATCTCTCACATTGATTTTTTTTCTCTCTCTCCCCCTTCCCTTCCATTATCTCTAAAAATCAATGGGAAAAAAAATCCTTGCATGAGGATATTTTTAAAAATATCAAAAAATATTAAAAAATAACAAAAAAGTAAAAACATATATTTTATAAAATTTATTAATGGAGTTCCATATTTGGATTATTCTTGCCAAGGAGTTTTCATAAAGAACTAGAAAGGTTGAGTTTTATTCATTATAAAAACTCTGAATCCCCCAAACATTCCTTATGTAAATGTCCCAAACCCTTGAAGCCTTAGAAATAATTGATTCCGAATTCATGTATCTAGAAAGTACTTATGAAGAGTCAATTCTAGTTCTATGAAATTCAGAAATTATAGTGCCAATTAGTATCAGTAGGTAAAAATTTTGAGGATCAGAAGCAAATCTATTTGTGTATCTTCCTATTCTGTCATTCATTCATTCAACAAATATTAACCACCTACATTGTGCCAGACATTATATCAGATGCCAGAGAGACTGCAGGCCACAAGACAGTCCCAGCCCTTTCTCACTGAGCTTGCGACTGAGAGGTCGAGATGGGTAGGACCATCCCAGGCTTGGGGACACATCCTGCCTTCTGTTGGCCTCCTGAATCTTTATAGCACTGATTTTCACTTCACAATGCTGAGTAAAGCTGGTCTCACAGGCTGTGTCCGTTTGATAAACACAAACTAGCTAGATGATGAGGAATGCAGGCAGTATTCACATATCCACAAATATCTATAGATGTTTAAAATAAATGTCGACAAAATATCACAACGTCTTGGAGTCCTATAGGCACAGCTGAGTGGAATACGCTGCGATCAGATGTTTGATTTGTCGTGGTTGAAAACTGCATTTGTAAATTGGTACTACTCATCTTTCCGCAGGTTCTTCAGAGACAGCCTCGAAGCCCCTGAGTGCTAGATTTTGTATTTAGATCTTGGCATTGTCTTACAAAAGAGTGGTAATTCACATAGAGAATTTCCTATTGATCACCTGATGAAGCACGGAGAGTCTGTTATTCTTGCCAAAGTCAATTGTAATTTAAATTCCTTATCTCCCCTAGGATGTTCTATTTCAATTTCAAATGGTACCAGAATTAAAATATAAATGCCCAACGAAAAGGTTCTGGTAGGTGTATTTGCCTTCAAAACCATAGCAGGAAAGAGTTTAGAAAAATCCGGCCACCAACCTAACCAAGAGAAAGAACTAAAATTCACCAGGATCACTGATGAATAGTAATAACATATTTCCCCCCCTATTTTTTAATATCTAATTTGTTTATTATATTAAAGACTGAGCTTCATGTAAAAGCTACTGATATGTCTTTAACATGATTTTGGACATGTGAGTAGCTCTAATATGATCATTAATAATAAAGAGCATTAAGACAAGTTGTCCTTTTTTCCATTCCCTTTGGGTTCAAGGAAACTTTAGAGAACCACAGGCATCCCAAGTCTTAGGAACTGTTACTTTTGATTAAAACTTTAGGGGAAGACTTGCACTTCAACACCAAATTTACTAAAAAAACTGGCCATTTGACTGGTCACTTGTAGGCAGGACCACTGTGACATTTAATCTGTCCTTAGCTGCCTTGGGTGTGATGGATTGTCCCTTCACTGTGACAAACGACCTGACATACATTTATTAGCACTTAACATTATGCAAATGCAGCACAAAAATACAAAGACTTCTAGAAAACACAAATGTAAGATATCTGCTCATTTGATAATTGTTCTGTAATTCCATGACAATATTTATATTGATGTTAAAATGTGATAATTTAACATTAACCAAACATGGTCAAATAAAAACATACTCACCTTAAGTTCCAAATTTATACACTGTATTAAAATGTGTCGAAATGACCCTTTTCTCATTATAAGGGTTCAATGATTTCCCTTTCTGAGAATCAGTGGCATTGCCTGAATAGCTTTAATACTTCTTTGTTAAATGATAACTAAAATATATGTTTTATTAAATTTTTCTTATAAAAATGAAAACTACCTCTTTCAAACTGAATAATACTCAAGCAGTCTCCATTCGTTCCCTTTAGTCATGCTTATCTCGTTTGTAAACCTATTTTACATAACATTCAGGGCCCTCCCCCTGGCCCTCCCCCCAGCTCTATCTAGTACAAAATGATAGGTTTTCAAGTATGAGAATCTGTTACCACGGCAGGGCCTTGCTGAAATTGGTGTATCTCTTACTTCCCTTGCCGTTTGTTGGGTGATGGACTATGAAGAGTAGGCAGATCTTGGCCTTGACAATATCACCTGACAGGGCAAATTAAAAGGTGTTGGGTAATTCTGATTAGTTGACTTTCAAGAACAGTTCCTAAATTGAGCTTTCTAAATGTTTAATTTGGAGGACCGTCTGNTCTTGGCCTTGACAATATCACCTGACAGGGCAAATTAAAAGGTGCTGGGTAATTCTGATTAGTTGACTTTCAAGAAAACAGTTCCTAAATTGAGCTTTCTAAATGTTTAATTTGGAGGACCGTCTGAAATGTGAAATTTATTCTATCTCGAGGAATCAATTTCTGCATTTGAGGAAAGGGAATAGTCGAATACTTGCTTCAGTTTTAATGATGCATTTGGAATGTTTCAACTGGACCTTTATTCTTTTTTCAGGTACACTTGTGTGCTTAAAGTATTTAAGTGCCCAAATAATTATTGCTTCCTACTCATTCCATAGAGTAAAACTAGACTTACGTGCCTAGATTTACTGTAAGTCAAAAGTTATAATCTGTGTATGTGGCCCTATCATTGTCTATTGACCTACATGAATCATGTAATGAAGGAGGCATCTTTATCTTCTAGAAGCAGCAGTATCTTTTCATTCACAATATTATTATCACTGGTTCACATACACTTGATTTTAAAAGGGATAATACTTTGGATCTTAGATTGCCAAAAATATCCATTTTATATTGGGAAAACTGACCTAAACTTTGTATGACATACATATTTGTATATACACACATATTATAATTTAGTTGTCTATGGCAGCACATCAGTGTAGGGAGAAAGAGATTAGATTTCTCTAGAGCTTATCAATCAAAAATATAAAACTTAAAAAAAATATTGAGAGCAGGGTTATACATAAGTATCATACGAGGATCAGTTCATGAAGCTAGGTCCTTTGCTAATTGTCTCTCTTACCAGATTCATAACACTTGCTCAGAAAAAGCCTAAGTTTGTAACAAATACACTCTCATAATATATATTTTGTGGAATAAATATACATTACATTCTGTTAGAATTAATAATAGATACAAGCAATACTTAAATTAAAAAAAATACAGTACTAGAGTTCTCTATCCTTGCTTCTAGCAAACTGAAAGTTGAGTTATATCGCCCCACTCTATTAATGCATAATAAAATTCATGAACAGAAAATAAAAAGCCAATTGCTTTGAGAACCTGAAAAAGAGTATAAATATAGTATAATTACTTGTTTTCAAGAGGGGAAAAGACGTTGACTTTGCAATTAACCGAATTTCTAATTCTGACAGCTCAGCAATATGGATGTGAAACAGGTCAGGGTGAGGGGCAATGTGTGGGTTTAAGTGGTGACAATATTGAACTGATGCAGTTTGAACTTTAGCCTAATGAGGGATTTGTTAATCTCTGGAAAAGCCATAGACCCAAGATTTACTTAATCCTGGCCCTGGTGATTTATCTGAAAGTCACGGACTTTATTCTTAGCCTGTGTCAGTCTGCAGACTGGAAAACCTCTCCATGGGCACACGGAGAATTCCCACTGCAGTGGATGGAAGGTCTGCGTGTGTAAAGAGCAGACAGAGCAGCTGGGGTTCGGCCCCCCGAGAAAGCAGGTGTCGAGTTGCCTTGGTAAAGAATTGATACACCACATGGTCACAGCTTCTTGACAGGTATAATTATCAGTGTTGTCTTTTCATTTTACTATGTGCTGGGATTCAGAAGCACGGTTTCAAATTTGTGACTATCAGATGTTTGCTCAAATAGCTTTTCTTCAAGGACCTGAAGGGGGAAAAGAGTGGGGAGAAATCGGTGATTAGCATTCATTTGTCAACTACAATATGCTAAAAATATCAAAAGAGCATGTGCTCGGTGAGAACAGCAAGGCTTATTTTGGGCGAGATCATTCACACACAATCTTCCACATATGAAAAAAAGCTGCTTGATGTTTGCAAAGGAAGTAATTACTGAGGGAGGATGGAAAAGACACCAGTTATTCCCGGAGATGAAATAAAGAACAGCAGTTTGGAAACATTTTCAATGCAAAACATTTCTTCCTCCCAATTCCAGGTAACTCTGTTTTTCTTCATGAAGGCAAAGAATAGGTAACCTTTCCATCACTCTTAGGGCCGTTAGTGCTCTGGTAGAGGTACAGCCAGCAAAGCCTCTCTCCGCCCAGCAGGAAGCGCCGGTATTTTCTTCTCTCACCAGCTCAGCCTGACATCAACTAGAACAGAGCAAGCAGCTGCCCCTTTGGTCAGATTTCGGGGAGCAGCCTCCCCAAGCACTCCTCCAAGATCTGTCTCTCTTCCACCATGATGGAGTTGTTTCTTTCAGAGAGAACAGTGGTTTTCGATCTTTGATTTTAAAACTGCGGATATTTTGTGATTTCAATGAGTGCAGAGCGCATATACGAAACAGATTTTAACAACCTGTTCTGGCTGATGTGAAAGCGAGTGTGTGTGGGGCATTTGCACTCTCCAGCTCCCATGCCATCTAGACGTGCCTGCTGCTGAGTGTTCCCTAAGGGCCACATATTTTAAGAGTTTTACATGTTTTATTATTTAATCTCCACAACAGACTGTTTTACTGAACTTTAGATTAAATAACTATTAGTCTCAAGTGACAGATTTAGAGATTGTTTTTAATAAATTCATTTTTCATACATATATTTACATGTCCTAAGGGAGTCAGTCTCAGAACAAGTAAATTTTAGTAAGAGTTGGGTCTCCTCATGCACCAAGAGGGGGAGTCGGCCGGTGGGAAGGCCAGCAGCTGAGCGCGCCCACAGTGTGCCGTGGGCCACTGCAACACCCACGGAGAACGATCTTCCCCACGTGGTCTCATATTTTCCTCAATCCCATGATTTATAATTCAACAGGTCAGTGTGAGTGTGTGTGTTTAAACAAAAGACTTTTTTTCCATATTGGTGTAAATTTTATTGATCAAATTGCTCTGCTAACTTTTAAATGAGCCATTGTGATAGGCAGAATAAGGGACCCCAAATATATCTACATCCTGATCCCCAGGACCAGTAAATATGTTAGATTCTATGGGAAAGGGAACTTGAAGTTGTAGATGGAATGAAGGTTGCTAAACAGCTGGGGTTAAAATAGGGAGGTTACCCTGGATTGTCCAGGTGGGCCCAGTGTAGTGAGAAGTGGGAGAGAGCGAGAAGAACCAGGGAACGGGGTGGCCTGATGCACGCAGAGGTCAGCGCAACGCCGTGGGAGGACTCGGCCACCACTGCTGGTTTGGAAGATGGATGATGGGACCACAAGGCACGCAATGCGAGCAGCCTCTGGGAACTGGAAAAGGCGAGGGAACGATTTCCCCCTAGAGCCTCCGAAAGCCCAGTGAGATTATGCTGGACTTCTGTCCTACAGGACTTGTGTTCTTTTAAGTAACAACATTTGTGGTGATTTTTTAGGGCAGCTATGGGAAACTAATGGAAGTACTTTGAAGTATGGGCACTGCTTTGGAAGTAAGCGGTGCGGGGGGCTGGGTGACCCCACACTAAGCAGCGGGAGAACGAATCTCTGGAAGGCTCCTGAGGACGCACCTGCGAGGGGGACGGAGCGCGTGAGGGCAGGGCCGCTGCAGAAGAGGCCGAGCAGCAGTGCCGAGAAACGGGCTCTGAGACAGTGTTTCTGGGTATGAAGCACGGCCCTGTCACTTACTAGCTGAGAAACGCTGTCACCTTTCAAAAATCCTACACGACTCGCTTTCCTTCTTTAAAATGAGATTCAAAATAGTACCTAATATTCACAGGATTACTGTGAAGATTAAGTAACTTAATATATATGAAGTTCTTAAAAAGAGTTCTTGGCACAGCCTGTTTAATACATTGTATCCAGCATTCTGATGATTACGTCTGGTCCAGTTTTCTGCTTGGTGACCCCGGGTGCCCTGGAGTCTGTGTCATCAGAGCCATCCTCTGGGACCTGGTCGTCCCAGCGACTGACTGGCAGCTCGGGCAGTGCTCCCTGGGCCGGAGCACCCGGCCGTGGCTGCGGGCGCGGCGGGGGAAAGCACAGAACAGGAAGCAGTGGACAAAATAGGGAAAGTGAGGCCTGAAGAGCAGGAGGGAAACGCAGTCGGCGAGGCCTCGGGCAAACGCCAGCTGCTGCGCACATCTGCTAAGGTCCTGCCTGGCTCTGAATGTGAATGAATTCTCCATCCCTGTTCCCCCAACAGGAGGTCAAAGAAAGGAAAAAGGCTTGCGGAATGCTGACATCTCAAGAAGTATCCCTCTTTCTTTCTGCTTTTATTCTATGTGAATCTAGGTAAAATATAAGGTACATATGTATTTCCATATTTTATGGATGTATATAAAGTCAGCCTTTAAAAACTGAGATGCTTAAAGTTGAATAAATGTAATACTCCAAAAACACTAATTTGAAAGAATATATACACCTGTATGCTTATTGCAGTGATATTTACAATAGCCAAGACACGGAAGCAACCCAAGTCCCATTAATGGAGCACTGGATAAAAAAGCTGTGGTACACATATACAATGGAATATTACTCGGCCACAAAAGAGAATGAAATGTGACGATTTGTGACAGCTTGGATGGACCTGGAGAGTATTCTACTAAGCGAAATAAGTCAGACAAAGAAAGACAAATACCATATGATTTCATTTATATGTGTAATCTAAAGAGCAAACTAAATGAACAAATAAAATAAAAATAGACTCACAGGCAGACAGAATGGACTGATGGTTACCAGAGGAGAGGGGGGTTGGGGGACTGAGGGGAAAAAAGTGAAGGGGTTAAGAAGTACAAATTGGTAGTTACAGAATAGTCATGGGATGTAAGGTACAGTGTAGGGAATGTAGTTAATAACTACCTATAGTGCCAGGTGGGTACTTGAAATATTAGAGGGACCACTTTGTAAAGTATATGATCGTAACTAGTATGCTGTATACATGAAGCTAATACAAAATAATATTTAATGTAAACTGTAATTGAAAAATGAAATTTTAAAAAGTGGGTATAGCATAAAAAAACCTATATTTTATATCCTCTGTTTAAATTTCTGTAATATAATTGTGTAATGATCATATCTTCTACATTTTAGAAAATGTAAGCTATTCTTATCAAACATGGAAGTTGGAGAAAAAACAATTGCATTTTACTTCAATAGACTGGAACATTAGAAGTAGGTATAAGAGATGTTCTCCACATACTACCCACACTCAACATATTTTTCCATTTTTATCCAGCAGTTATCATTGCTAATTACTTCATAATTTATACCACCTCAGATATTTTTAAAAGGTATTTCTGATTTAGAGAATAAAATTATATTTTGCGTGATAAACAATAAGATAATATCTGACAAGTATTTTGCTTTACCTGGTCTTTGCTTGACTTGTCATATACTTTTAAAAAAAAAAAAAAAAAGCAGAGATCTGTTCAAAGTAAATATGTAAAATTAGCTTCAAACATCTTTGCAAAAGCAACCATAGCATGAGTTACCAAGTGTAGCAAATCTCATTTGATCCTTAAAAAGCTTAATTAATTAAAAGTTGAACACGAGCTAATGTAGGTTCTCTTTGACTACAAATTCACCATAAAATCCATGGGTGTGACATGACTTGGCTGTATTCTGCCTGTACTTGAAATGGTCACCACAATTTTATCTCAAGGGGCCACGACTGTTGATTGAAAGTGTTGCCGTGGCGGGCATAAATATAAATTCAATGTTCATTTAAATAGAGCTTTACCATGTCCTGTGCTAGAAAACAACATAGTTTGTAAATGCCTTTCATTCAAAATGTTAGTCTTTGGTGGTGAGACAATAAGAAATTCTGAAGTGATTTAATGAAGGCTGATGGAGCAGAGAAATGGAATTGTGTATATGGCCCAGCAGATATTTACTGCCAAGCTGTATACTTCCAAAGACGACTGAGTGAGCATAATGTTGTAAGTTTTTAGTAAGACCTCAGAAGGCAGAATGGCAACATATTTCTTTCAAAATACCTTATAAAAATATTACTGTGGGCCAGTGACATATCAATGAGCAGAACTGGTACCAGTCTGTAATACTGAGGATGGAAGAAGAAATCGGTTAGTGGAATGAGTGTCAATATCTCACTAAAAAATACTGAATTGTTATTATTAGCTAAAAGACCTTTGAAAGGATCTGAAAGTACAAACATAAAGTATCTTTGCGTTCAGAATGGATGAGAGAGGCCACGGACGAAAGGACTTGTCCGTAAGCGCTCAGCATTCCCTCTCGGTGGGGTCTTCCTTTCTGAAGCGCCGCATCTCTAGCCCGTTGCTAGATGACAGCCTCCTAAGTGGTCTCTGTTTCCACTCTCACCCTGCAATAATCTATGCTCCCGGCAGCATCCAGAGTGATCTTTTTTTAATACCTAAATCAGATCATGTCACTCTGCTGCTTAAATACCTTGAGTGGCTTCCATTGCAATTAAATCTAACTTCCCTCAGTGGTTTAAAAAGCTTTCTGCGACCTGGCGCCCGTCTATTTCACTGCCTTCTCATTATTCCCTAACCACCCTCGCCTGCTTTCTGCTCCTCAAACATCAAGTGGCTCGTGTCAGCCTTGGGGCCACTGCACTGCCTTTTCCTCCTCTTCTGATCATTTCCTGGCTTCTCTTAATCACTCAATCTTCACTTTAACGTCACCTCCTGTGAGAAGTTTCTCCCGATCACCTAAATGAAAGTCATAATCTAACCAGTTCCTATCAAAGCACTCTATTTTAACTCCGTAAAGTACTGGTCCCTATAGGATATTCCTATTTACGTGTTGATTAGCTCTCTCCTCTAACCAGACTGTCAGCACCATGAGAGCAAGGACTTTGCTCAGCTCATGCTGGTTCTGCAACCTGTTGCACCGTACCTGGCCCATCGCAGTGCTAAATAAATATTTATTGTTAGATAAATGTAGTTTTTAAAATGGAATGGAGTTTTAGATAAAGACACCAAAGTAATGTTATATATAATAAGACTAGCAGGCTATAAAAGATAGATTGTTGAATTCCCAAGACTCTCTGAGGACAAATCCCATACTCTTGACTTCTCCATGTAGCTTCTGCTTTTCATAAGTGTCACAAAAAATGGAAAGTCTCATGTCATAGCCAATGTTTCTGGTTGTGCAAATAATAATATGACATTGAATGAATTAAAATCACCACTATCCACTGTCAGTTTTCTAAGAACATTTGAACCTCATTTCAAACACATATTTGCAGACATCATAGAGATATCTAACGATATAAACTGCGGCTTCCAAAAGATAGCAAGAAAAATGTATATGGCTCCAGAATAGCTGATGTTGGCAGACGAAATACCTAGTAGAGTAAGAGGGAAAATAATTATGTGCTACTTGTAAGCATGGTTGAGGGGAATCTACCAAAGTTACTGCAGCTTCGTCTAAAACATAGGGTCTTAATGATACAGTACTTACCTTGAAGGGTTCTTCTGTGGATGAGGGATAGCATGTGAGAAGGGCCTAGCACATAGCAGACACTTCAAAGGTGGCGATTCTCACTCTTAAGATTGTTTTTTGAATATTCTTAAGATATACAGCAAAATCTGGTCTAGTATTCTTTGCCACAAGTAGAATTTAGAAAAAGGCAAGGTGCATCTTAGACACATTCTAAGTGAACATTCATTGAGAATTTCAAAATCTCTCCCAGCGTGGACACTGACAGGTATCCACTTCATTCTTTTCGGTGAAGCAGCTTTCTATGAACTGTATTTCAGTATTCTAGGGGAAATCTTCTGGGGATCAGCACTCTATGGTTGTTTAGCCTGTACACTGTGCCAAGGCAACTGGCCAAGGGAGTGAGAGGGGAGCTGGATTTCAGACCCAACTCTGGTCATCTAGTTTTGCACCTGAGAATCTGGGTTTGCACAGAGGCTGCATTTCCCTAATTTGTATAAAGGCATCTAATAGTCTGTACCTGGCCCTCTCAAAGTATACTGTTTTCCAAAGTATCTTACATTTGCAAGGAATATGGCCAAATGACACATAAAGCAAGCATCTATCATTGTTTACATTTTCTGAGATTATAGTTTTTATTTGATTGTGTTTTTTGTGAGTGTTTTTTTTGGATTATTAAATCTGATCATTGTGTTCCAGCTAAAAAACTATATTAAAAAAACAACTGGAATATGTAATAGACTTTCCCTGTACAGAAGGAGCTCCTCACCTATGACATGTGGTTTTGCTGTGTCTGTTGCTGCTGCTGCTGTTGCTGCTGCTGAATTAGTAATTGCTGCTGCTGCCGACGCCGGGCTGTCCGCAGCTTCTCAAAGCGAGCCTCCATTTCCTCGAGGACTTTCGGGGTGTACCGCACCACCAGCTTGACGCTGTCCTTAGCAGCCTTGAGTAGCTCCACAGCTTTCTCATGGTGTTCACCTTCCACACTCTGAAAAGACAGTGGCACTTCTTAAAGGGGAGAGCTTCCGTGTTCCCTTTCCAGAGCGACAAATCTGAAACTAGTGTCACATTAAAATCCCAGAGTTTGAAATTTTATGAAGGCATGGGAAATAGAATCTATTGCCATCATTATTATTACTTAGTAGTTTTGCAGTTGAACTATAATCAGGTTAGGATTTACTAGGGTACAGAATGGATTGAGTGGGGCTTCAAGTTAAGAGAGTGAGAAATAATGAAGACCTAAAATAGAATGCTAACATTCAGAATGCGTTTTCTAAATTTTATCTGGAAGAATAAATGTACTAGGCAAAAAAATTTTGAAAAAAGGAGTAATAAAAGATGACTTTTCTATCAAATATTAATATTTATGAGTTTTATTGGTGTAGCGAGAGACAGAACAGAGCCCAGAAGCAGATCCATTATATGGAAATTTTTTATCTGATAAATTTGGAATTTAGATCAAAGGGGAAAAAGATTATTAAATAATGATGCTGGAACAAACAATAATTAAATGATCCTAATCTCATAGCCAATGCTAAATATAACAGGTTGATTAAAATTTTAAATGTAAAAATAAAACCATAAAACAACTAAAACACAACAAAGGTGAACAGTCATCATCTCTCAGTGAAAAAGTAATTCATAGGTAAAAGTACCAAAGATAAATAAAAATCACAAAATCAGATTTTAAGATGTTAAGTTTCTATTTCTCACACGCTATAAAAGGTCAAAAACAAACCAGAAAAACATATTTTCAATATATGACCGTCAGTTTGTTAATATTCTTCAAATGAAAAGCTCTTACAAGTCAATAAAGATCTAAGCAAAAATGGGCAAGTGAACTCATGGATAAATAATAATTTACAAAACCCGTATGTTCAATAAACCTATGAAAAAGTGTTGAAGTTCCCTAGTAATCAAATATAAACACAAAATATTTCATTTTTAATCTAAAAATGGTAAATATGTATTTTCAAATATAGTGTACTGACAAGAATGTAGGAAAATGGAACTTTCACACACTGATAATAATTTAACAAAAATTGTCATAATTTGTTGGAAGGCGCTATTGTTATGCATTGAATAAACCTTCTATAATAAATAGTTTTACTTTCAGAGAAATTTATGAAGGATATAATCAAAGATGCACACATACCTATAAAGCAGTTATAACAGAAAGCAAAAAAAAAAAAAAAATCAAATCTTGGCTTTTGAATTTCAAAATAATCATTTGAACACAATGGCACAGACAATAGCTGCGGAAACTATTTTTACGCTAAGTAAACACAGAGAGACTTCTCCCAAACCTTCTAATGCTTCTCCAGGTTGGAATCAGGCAGAAGCAAGACCAAGGAAAATTATAATCGGCCAGTTTAGGACCCTAAGAAAAGGAGACAATGTCCTTCCCTCTCAGCTATTCCCCAGGGCAGGTGACCTAACCCCCAATTTACAGGATGGGAATACAAAGGCCTTTCTGACTTGCTGCCTGGATAAAGCTCAGAGAAAAAACATCTTTGCAATGGGATGAACAGGCGCTGAGACAGGATTACAGACTGCCAACACACCTGAGAGTGGCACTGAAGTGGCAGAGAAGGCCACCCCAAACCGGTTGAGATTACATTTTCACAACCCAAGTAGAAGGGGAACTAAAAAGGAATATCATATTGAGTTACAAAAAAATAATTTGCATTTCAAGCACACTCCAATTACATCTTGAGGTTCATACTCCTATTATTATACAGATCAGATTTGAAGATTTAAGAGGCTGTGTTCCATTCTGTGGTCTGCTTCAGCAAGGTGCATTTGGACTGAGATAAAAAAAAAGTCTGAATTTAGCAATGAGGCAGGCACTGGGGGCCCTTAAGAGCACTGCTTCAGACATTTGTCAGGAAACAGGCAGATATTAAGAGTGTAAGAAATGACCATTGTGAGCCCTGGAGGCAACTTATATAACCATTCCCTTGCCAAATCTGGGTTACACAGAGAGCAAGGGGTTATAAATAGCTGATGGGAAAATGAATTTTAATCTGTGGCTGAAGCCTAGGAAAAGCGGCTTGGTCAATGATGAATCCATTCTACTCATTACTCACTCCGTCACCGACTTGGTCACTCAAGAGATGTTTATTAAGCATTTCTTTTACTAGTTATATTTATAGTTCTTTGGAAGAACACAAAAGACAGGAGAGACTTTGTATAGTATAAACTCTGTTTTCAGTGTGCATGCAATTTCTTTGTAATTTGCCTCAACATGTCTCGTTAATGCTTGGAATTCTCATTTAAAAGGAAAACTGGGTGATTTGGTTGTCCAGTCCCTTCTCTCATTTCTTTTTTAATATTAAAACTTAGGTGTTTATGTTTCTGTAACAATGGTTCATCATTTTCTAGGCCTGATGATTAATCCCAAGGTTTCCTTTTGGCTTTTGTTCTATTTGCTTTCATATAGAAGGGCTGGAAATTCTAGGCCAGACCTGTAGAGGCCCATTATCCCAGTTTAGGCACCATGCCTGCAATTCAGAGCTGCCACAGGAGGGCCGTGGCACCCGTACCTGGCCCATTAGGCTCTCACCACAGTGAAGAGCTGAGAGACATCCGGCTGGTGCACCTCCTGAGCCCTGCAGCACTGTCGGGGGACCTGCTCCCACCCAGCTCCGCTGTCCCACACAGTCAGCAGTTCACGAACAGCAGGCTCCATGGTCTTTGAATCCAAAATTTCTGCCTTGATGCTTTATCTTTGATTTTGACGATGACTCAGATTCTATCCAGCTCAGCGGACTTAACTGGCCCTCTGGCTTAATCTGTCTTTTATAAACTCTGTCTCCTTTTCCAGTGCACAGAAGCACTGCCTAAGATCTGGGCAGAGTGTCATACTTCTTCATTTCTACTACTAAGAATGCCTTGCTGAAATAACGGAAGTATTACTAGTGAAAGTTAATAAATGGAAGTTAATACATGATTGAACAGTATAATAGAAACTAAGAGGTGTCTCTTACAGAANTGGAAGTATTATTAGTGAAAGTTAATAAATGGAAGTTAATAAATACATGATTGAACAGTATAATAGAAACTAAGAGGTGTCTCTTACAGAAACATTTGAATATAAGCATATTTGTAGACTATTATTTCAAACACCCTTTAAATTTGTTTTTTAATTGTTTCCTGAAAAATTTCTTAACTCTTGTCTCAAAAATTGTTCTGGGTGGCTTGCTCTTTTTTTTGTTTACCGACTTTGCCTATGTTACGGATATTTTTGAATGCATGTCTGTCTCCTTAACCTATTATTGACCTCTGGAGTGCTTTAGTCCCTCGGTTTAACTTTTTGGTAAGAATAAGACAGTTTTCTCTATTCTTTCTTTCCCTTTTAAGGTAAGAACAAAAAGCAGACTACCTTCCCACAGAGTTCATGGTCCATGCATCAAAAGAGGCCAAACTATGTGCTCAGTTAGGATATCCACACGAATACACAAACACTTGTTAACAGGAATTCCTTGAGCCCTGAAAGTTTATCATTTATTCCTACTTTTGACTTAGTCTATTTTTCACTCTTAATAAAAGCATTGAAATATAATAGTGTATTTATAAACAGTTAAGCTATTTCTATCACATCTCTCTCTCTCTCTCTCTTTCTCTCTCTCTAGATATATGTATCTCCTCCAGATTCAGGAACTGTCCTTGATCACAAGTAGATCAGCGTCAGCACTGGCCTCTCACAGGGGATGGAAACGTGGTCCTTAGGGATCTGAGGAGACCTAGAAGGGCTTCCAATTTTAAAGTGAAAATCCTTCCTCGATTTAAAACCTGAAAGTCTATACTTTCTTTAAGAAAGTTTTCTACTTTCTAAAAGAAATCCTGCACTTTTACATTTCATTCCCTTTGCTTTTAGAGTTTTGTTGTACAGACTGCAATTTGAGGAAGTCAATGGCATGGATTGATTTAACAAGACTTTCCAATAGGCATCTGGTCAAAGTTGGATGTTATTAAGGAGGTAAGGGCTGGTGAGGGAGGCATGGGAATATGCTAGGTACCCAGCAAATATTTAGACCAAAGAGCAGTGTGGTCCTGAAAAAGAAAAGCCCCTAAAGAGAAATATTACCACCTCCACAGTTGTGCCTAGTCTGCCCATGAGCATTCACTAAAATACATTAAAATACACTAAGAAGAATAGATATTCTTATCCTGAAAATATTTCTATCTTTTCCAGCTAAATATAAAAACCACACACATAGAAATCAATATGGGAAGGAGAATTCAAATAATTTTATTACCATTTCCAAATGCATAAATATAAGCTAATAAAATACTAAACTGATGTAAAACCATAAGAACTGAATTGTCTGTAATGATACTATATAAAGGAATATATTTTCATTCAGGAAGCTGTGGGAAAAAAATAGCTCAGTAAATAACCAGATGCATACTTGTTCCATTAGCAATCCCATGCAGTAGTAAACCTAGGGAGCTTTAAAGTCAGCTAACTTGAAGGAAGTTTAGCAAATCAGTGGCTGATAAATTAAACACTGCTGCATTCTGATCTTTCAGTCATTTTTCTATCTCCATACATTGTGAGATATCAAAATGGATGGCATTTCTTGGTACGCCCAATTTTCTGGTTGATTACAAGTCCTCTCTAATAAGAGAATTTGGGGTTGTACTGCATATGGGAATTTGCTCATGATATGGGCTCTCTCCCCTTTGATAGTTGTTAAATTTTGACCCTTGCTAGACCTCAGATGGAAGAGATGCCTGCCCTGGGGAGGAATATTGTTCTCTGTGCACAATCGCTGCACAGTGGACCATGATGTCCTGGTCTATATGCAGGTCTTTCTCTGTGGGGATTGCATGAACATAATCTTGACCCAGCTTGCTGATAAATAAACTGCTTAAACACTTTGTTGAATAACCAAGAGTTGGCTACACTTATCAGTTATTCTAAGCATATCTAATCTAGGTTTCTGCATAGGCTTCTAGATGACCCTAGTTATTCCTTTGGAT